AATACATATTTTGGTTTCTTTTTAATGTATCTGTTTGTAATGCTTTTGTTCTTGAATCAGAACATGTTGGATTGAAGCGCGAATCAGTATATTTCAAGCTTGACCTCGCACAACAACTGATCGATGGTTTTTCGCAATGAAAACAAAAGCGTAGGTCGAACGAGGTTCCACCAAACCATGCTGTCCCTCAAGATCAGCATGTTTCAGTTCGTATAGAGGGCAGAAAAAGAAAAAGTGTTCAATGCATAGAGAGTGGGCAAAGAACACCCAAGGGCTACAAAGTGGAAACGAGATACGAGTGTAGCATTTGCAAAGTGGCACTGTGCCGAACCGGCTGTCACAATGACTTCCACTCAAGGTCATAAAACTTTCTTATTTATGAACACAAATCTGGTGGGATGAGCCGTTCTTTTATATTTTTTATATATTCTGACAATTTCTCTTGTTTTTCTGTACAAAAGTAAGCTGTATTGTGATGGATTTACTAATAAATTCTCATTCAACGTTTGACAATAGGCGCTGGAAATGGCGGCAAATTTGCATTTTTTTCATTACTTGCAATTTTATCTTAGATATCTTGTGAATCTAGGGAGAGTTGTCTTTATTAATATCATGGGTGACAAATTACTCCCTAATTTTGACGCGAAATTTCAGCGTTAATTTGTAATTTCACATATTGCCATGGCAACCATTCCGACGCAGCCAAAATGGTGTCCAGGTTTGAAGATGTTACAGATTCTGATGTGGCGGCATTAAAAGACGCTGCCGAAAACTTGAACACCCGTAAAAGCACAGTTAACTGGTTGAGAGTTTTTGAGAACTGGTGTGATGAAATGCCCTCATCAAAAGCGCTGAGAAGCTTCCTCTTGAACAGCTGGATAAAGTTCCAAGATTCAAGTGACTCAATGCTCTTTTGCCTATAAATATAACTTGGCCTGTTTGCTGTTTGTTATTAACAGCCTGAAAACATTTCAAACACTGACATTAACTGGCATTTACAGCTTTAGCGGATTAGTGATCGCATTTGACCTGGGCAGTGTTTTCAAGTTCATTCCTGAATTTTGGCCAATCATAAACAAAGAAGGGAGACGTCGGTTGATTTAACTTTGAAACATTTGACGAAAAACAAAAATGAAAAACAAGAACAGTTTAAAGGGCTTTTCCAAGTTGTCTGTACATTCAGAAAATTAAAACTTTCCGCACGGTACCCTTAGTTAACCTTTTTTTAAGTTTGGAATCCTTGGATTTTTTCAATACAATAAACAATTTTTAAAAAAATCACTTCTTGTGAACGTAATTTGTCATCCAAAATATTAATAGGTAATCAAATGGTGAACTCGTGAAATTAGGGAATAATTTCACTTGCGTTTTGTCCAAATCCTAATAATTTCCCGAGCCTTTATTTGTTCAAAACGCGCGAGAAATTATTCCCTCATTTCACTCGTCACCATTTGATTACACATACTAATTCTTCAGACAAATAAATTGACTCCTTGGCTTCATGATTGTGTAGTTTATTGTGTGAAACAAGGCTCTGAAATCTACTGAGCATGCATGTTTTGATTGAGTATCACAGCCATCTTTGATCCTTGATAATTGTTCAGGAAGCTGGGGGGTTGGGGGGTCATTAGGCTATAGTAGTGAAAGGGTTAAACAACGTCAAAAACACTTAAAGCAGGAATTGAAGGGTTCAACACATCTAAGACTTTATTTCAAGATAGAAGAAAACTGTTTACATCCAGCGATTAAAACAAAAAGGCAAAATAAAACGAAGGTTTGTACAACTGTTACTGTTTTCTTTGATACGACGTTAGCCACGCGTTTGAAATCTAAGAGCAAATTAACTTTTACACCCACACCCCTGCCCGGCAGCCATGTTGTATCGGATTTCTCCCCATGCAGGGAGTCAACCAGTCAACCTATCGTTTTGCCTGTCATGTTGACCGGTCACATTCGATCATATTGAAAATGAAATAGATTAAAATTTTGATGCTGTTCATTTGTTTCAGTTGTTATCAGTGTGTAGCAAGTCAGCGTGTATTGCAGAACTTTGACCAATCTTGGTAAACGTGCAGAATGAGTTAGTGGGTAAGTGAGTGAACAAGTGAATGCGTGACCAAATGCCACTCGACTGCCTCCAAAAGCCTATGGAATGACGTGAATATATTTTTCCATACAGCCAGTCTATGGAAATTATTAGACATAACGTATTTATTAAATTTTTGGACCTTGAGAGTGGGCGCTTATTTGAGGCTGGGCGCTTATTAAATTTTCAGCATTTTCAGCAAGTGAAGTATGTTTATTTTGCAACAAAACAATAAATGCTAATAACAAAACGCGAAGAAGTAACAAAGGAAGGTTTCTGTAAAATACTCTGAAGAAAACTTCGTCCTCGGGGAAGTCTCTTATTATAATTTGTTCACTCAAGTAGGTGGGGTGGGGGTGAGCGCTTATTTGAGTTTGATTGGGAAGAGGACGGGATGGGTGCTTATTCAATGCTGGGCGCTTATTAACTTTTTCTGCTTTTCGGATGGGCGCTTATTCGTGGTGGGCGCTAATTCGAGGTTGGGCGCTTATTCGAATAAATACGGCAAGATTCTCAGTTCTCACGCGTTTGCCTACTCGTCAAGATGGTGTCGGACACCGTGACAAGGTAAGTTGCTCTTGAATTTAAAAACAACAATACCTAATAATTTGCAAATAATTTTCTTTCAATTAATCACTACATTTACGATCTCGAACATAATTGCTGGTACAGACAATCGCACTCAGGTGATGTATGTTAATTATTGCAATTGTTTGAGCTAAATGCTTACCGTACCAGGTAATCTGCAGCGTATAAACAACAGCGACTCACCTGGGATGCTTTCCCGCACACATCTTGTCTTGTAGAAAGACGTTTCCCTCTCACAGGCGCATTCAACGGAGCTGTTGAACATGCAAAGTCAGAGAAGAGGTGATTGAACTGAACTGAAGTAGACAAAGTTAAGCTTACATTGGTTGTTTTCAAGAGAAAGGTTACACTACATGTAGATCACTCTCCGTCTCTGCAGAACGTTTTCACTTCCAACGTTGATTTACTGAATGGAAAATAACTTCTATTTGGTTCATTACAACTAATTGGTACAATTACGAATATAGCACGGTGAGGTCAACGAATTAACACACGAAGCTAACAAGATGAGTGGCCATGTTGGAGCGCCTTCACGAAAGAGTAGCTACCCACACTACTGCACGAATTTGGCGCAGATATGGCTAATAATGAAATAAAGCTAACACTCAATGAATGAGAAACTAGTTAAAAGCCTCTTACTTTTTCGATGAATTCGGCTTTACATCCCTTGCGAAAGAAACAGATGAAATAGTTTGTCTGAAAGATGAGCTACCAAACTCCTCGTGAAAATGAAATGCCAATCAGCTGTCATTTTGCATATTTGAGCCTGCGAGGCTTTAAAAGGTGTCTGCGGTAACTCTGTTTGAAGAGCGGGGGTCGGGGGTGGGGGGGGACGGTCGGGGTCATCTCTTTTGGTTCTCCTTCCCGGCAATATCTGATAATTGAAAAATAATAATAATAACAACAAGAGTTAATATTATAAGGCTGCAATGGAAAGGGGAGGGTTTTTATAGCCGTGGAATTTTATCCTTAAGAAACAAAGTCGGCAGGGCCGTACATGATAGACACGATAGCCTACCCCGCGCACTATAAGAACACCTTGAACGACAGCTTTTGCTTTGTCCCTGTGAGAGGACCCCTGGTTTAAACCATAAACAGCAGTTGTAAACATGATGCCGTCAATAGTGTGCTCGATTGATTGGAAAGCACTTTGCACCTAACACCCGGAGGGTAATCAATAAAGTTTTATACGTGAAGGCTCCTCCCCTACGTCCAACCCCTTACTTTTTCATATGTCTTTCTGGACAGAGAAGCTACCCCTTTCGTATATATATATAAACCTTCTATTGACAAATGGTACTCCTTTTACATACGTAGTTTAGAATTCTGCATCCCTTTTAACACTGTCCTATCACTTAAATCACAAGACAAGGAGGTTCCTCGACTTTTTCTCTGCCTTAAAAATGAATTTGTTATCCCTTTTGGACCTTTTTAGGCCCTTCTTAATTATAGACCGAAATGACAGATTCCCCTACCCTTTCATATACTTTACTAGAAAACTATTTACCCGGCCTTCTAAAAAACTGAAGGCTGAAAAAGGTACCCCCTTGGGCGGAGCCTCCATACGTATAGCGGGCCATTATAGTGAGTACCCCCAGGGCTAATACCAGCGGAAAAGGTCATCAAAATACTAGAAATAACAATAAAGAAACGAGAAACGCTTAGGAATAAAAACTATAGTATACTTTTTCCGGGATACTCACTCGGAAACGGCTTATCGCCAAATGTCTGGTGCCTGTATGGTGACGCCTCAGGCTAGTTTGGGCAGCTGATCTTGATAATTTTTTTTATTTGGCATCTTTTCTTATAGTACTTCCTTTTTATTTTGTTTAACCCAACAAATTATTTATTTATTTGTTAAGGGAGCGCAACCAAGTGAAAAACTTCAAGTCTGTTTAAACAAAAAGACACAGCAGACGTTTGCTTGACCCATAACATTGCTTCAACTCGAAATCCAAAACTCGTGCAATGTTTCCTGTAGCGTAATATCCATTCGCTTCAACGCTGTCAACCACATTTCGAGAGGTCACGTCCCCTTTCTTTTTAATCTGTTTATCCTGGAGCTGGGCCATGTTGGAGTCTATTGTTAACTGACGTTCTTGGTTTAAGAATTTTTCCCCGACAAAAGAATCGCAGTACGTCCAAAATGGAACGTGCGCCGGACATCTTTTCTACATCGCCATGCCTCAACTCTACTGTACCTTTTTTTCTGCCATATGTAACAGGAGGAGTTTCAGCTTTTCTTTGTCTTATTACGGTGCCGGGAAATTTGCTCGTGGTTTTAGCTGTTTTCATTGATCCCAACAAAGATTTACGTTCTCCGTTTATGTACTTTGTTGCAAACCTTGCCATGGCTGATTTACTAGTAGGACTGGTCACCGATCCTCTATCAGCTTTCTACCACATGAAGAACGCACTTGGGCTACTTGACTACGAAACACTTTATATTCCATCTGTTCATATACCATTCTTCATCTCCTGTACTGCTTCAGTACTAAGCTTGGCCGCGTTAACTGTCGATCGCTACCTCGCTATTAGTTCACCTTTTCGATACAGGGCTAAACTGAACACGATGCGTGCGGCGATGGCTTGTGGTACAGTATGGACCCTTTCACTGAGTTTTCCGTTTGCTTACCTATATATTGGATTCTATCACTACGCCTTTCTCTTTGCTAACACTGCTGTGGCATTGACATTTCTCGTCCTATTGTTTGCCTATATACGGATTTACAAAATATTTCGTCGTCAAGTACGCGAATGGGACAAACTACATGACAGCACAGAAGAAAATCGTGTCAAGAAATGTACGATGAGATGGGAGCAAAAGATAACCAAAACTCTACTCATCATGTTAGTTTTATTTATTTCATGTTATTTTCCCGCGTGCGCTCTCATATATATTATCAATTTGTGTAACACATGTAATTGTGACCTTATTTTGTGGGCTCGTGACCTTCAGTTTTTGCTTATTTTAGCAAACAGCTCTATGAATCCGTTCATCTATTCATGGCGGTTGAGAAATTGCAGAAGAGCGTTTCTGTGGATTGTTACTTGTGGAAAGAAAGGGGGTAAACAGCGGCAGTATGTGTATTCATTCGAAATGCGAAGCTTTCGTCGCGCTTCTACACCCACTCCGTCATAAAGACAAAATACTTGTACTGGCAATTTCAATAGTTCTGTATGTAAAGTATTAAAGCAACTTTAAATGTTTATGTTCAAAATTGGTAAATAAATTGTTATGAAGAGCACCTCGTTGGAGTCGTGTTAAAGTCGATCCAGCTTAGAACTGGCCTCCCACGCAAACGTTTGATGTCTATACTACCAGTAGCCCCTCATTTTCCCTCAGGGATAGTAGGGCGAGCAAAACGAGAACGCGCGTGAAAATCGCGCGCTCGCGTTTCGCTTGCTCTACTTTCCTTGAAGGAAAATGAGGGAATAGTCGTAATCTATTTAAGGTCTTTTAAGGGGAGCTATATTTACCCGGCGACGTTTGAAACAGGTTAAACTTATTCCGATGACATTTACGTTTGATAAAGCAGCGTCGGAAACTCATAAGAAGAATGGCATTTTACCATCTATTATAGGACGTAGGGGAGGGTGATGTTAAGCCCTTGGCCTCTTCCCTCGAGCCTTACCCCCTCCATTCCTCTTTCAGTTTGTAATATAAAGTAACGGTGTTTTCTCTAAGTTTAAAATAACACACTGGCCATTACCCTTTGTTTTCAGTCTGCTACATGTTTAACGAGCTGTTTTCCTGTTTTCCTAGTGTAGAGTGCAAAAAACGACAAAAAGCAAAAAGAGCGATTTTAAAATTGGTCACCGTATTTACGGAATATTCTCTGATCTATCAAAAATATATATAATATAAAAATATATATATTATAAACATTGACAAACCACACTTACAGGAGTTAGCATAGCTAATCGAGACGAGTTGTCAAAAATAAAAACAAAAATTAACTCAACCTCCATCTTGGTCAACTTTGTACCAAGGAAAACGGAAATTTAGGTGTCACGTGAAAATGCCTAAAATCATTATTTTCCTCTCACGCTTTTTTTTTTAATGCGAACTGCGTTCAAGATTTTCATACATTTTTTTTAACAAATTATACTTCCAACAGGAGTGGAATTTATCAGGGACACCGAACGAGTGTTTTCTGTTTAATATCTGTTTTAAGAAGCAAAAAATAGCCTATAATTTTCTACAGCTTGAGGAAGTAAGGAAGGCTAAAAATTCATAGATTACCGTTCCGTTCATGCACAATTTTCATGCACAATTTTTTTCAAAGCTATTTTTTCGTAGAAAAAGAAAAGTTAAAATTGTCGGATTCGAAAAGAGAGAGGTATCAGAAAAGTTTTTACTTTCGTAAAACTTTAAATTGCATCTAAAACTTTCGGGAATAATAATAACGAAGCCCTTTTAATCTCGAAAAGACTCAAGTACTCCTAGGATGATCGAACAAATACAAATTTTATAGCGGCACTTAGAATACATTTCTATAGATCTAAACAGGCTATCTAAAAGCACCCTGGATAGCCTAAAAAGTGTTTTCAATGTATTGAGGAGGAAACAGTCGTTGAGTGGCCCTGATCTATGACCCCAGATGCTCTACCACTAAGCTTCAGAAGACTGTTGGGAGCTAGGGCCATTAAACTACGTAAAACTAGATTAACGTGACAAACAATAAACCACCTCTCAAGACACCAGGGAAAGGTTTAACCGGCGACCTGATAAAATGGCTCCATCACCTATATTCGCGGTGTTCCCTGGCTTACACACGGTAACCACCTGCCCCGCCTAGCCAACTCACATGCTTTAGGGCTTCGTCAGTCCTACGTTTGGAATGGAGAGAGAGAGGAACGCAATATAAGGAAAGATTTCCCGAAATGACTTATGACATGGAGAATAGGCACTGACAAGGGCTCAAAACGTGAGAGTGTTGTCGACGCACGTTTCGGCAAATACAAAAATGAATTACCTTACGATCAGGATAAATCACCGGCTTTTAATGTTAATTAAAAGTTAACAGAACTTAACAAAGCATTCCTACAATGGCGATGCAATTCGCTAACCAACAAGAAAGGAAAATAGAAGGAAAAGTGATGGGGAAAAAGACCGACTTTGACCAATGTGAAGAAACTCGGTTGAATATAGGCATGGTACTGCGCGAAAGCTCACCGGACCAGAGTCACGTCTGAGGTGTAAATGTTGTTTAAACTGTGAGATTAGGGAAGACCATAGAGGCTGCACGAACTTTCTTTGAACCCAAAATAAAGGTCAAAAAGCGCAGATCCTAAGCAAACACTTAAAAACCCCTTCATATAATAAATAACCACTTCAAACGACGCCAAAAATATCTGAGTAGAGTAATAATCTGTAAAGAACGGTCAACTGTATACTAGGAACACTAGGAACAAAAGTACTATAGTACTTCACATCGCTATGCTTTGACATAATTGTCGTCATTCGTAGTTCATTGAACATGTCGATGGCTTTTTCCATCATATTTATTTCAATGACAAGACTCTTAGCGTCATCCAGCTTACAAAAGATCTCGATTAACAACAGGTGAATGTCAACACAAAGTTGATCAGCCAAGCGTGTAATACCACGAAACACCAGCATTTACAAACAAAAGACAACTAATTTACGCTATGTTAACACTGCCAGGAACATAGGACAAATGAAAGCCGTCGGTGGAAGGCATAATCCAGTCTTGTTGTGATGAATCAAATGTAGTTTCCTCGATTTGTCCTCGGAGACCTCCTGACGGCAATCCACTGATTTTCGTTGGTCAGACAGCTTGATTAAGGGCCGCGAAACAGGTAGAGTAATTATAAATGACAACCAGCTACGAATGACTTCACAAAAGCGAAGTCGGTTGCTTTGACGAATATTGGTCTCGTCTAGTTTCATCAGTCGACGTCTCCAGTCTTTTAAAAGTTTCCCTAGGTTAACAAACTAAGACCTGTGCCTACAAGTGCCCACAAGGCCGAGAAGAAAGAGGAAGTACCGAAGAAAGTCGAACACTTTAAAGGCATCAAACGAGTTGTTTATAGTCTTTACAATGTATCACATCGTCTGTTTGCGTTTGCAACGTGTTTAAAACCATTGAACGACAACTATTCTTGATCAACTGGCCCGTGGGAAACGTCAAGTATTGGAGACATCATACCAGTTTAAGCTGCGGCATAAACTGTTGCGAGTTGTGTCTTCTATCACTGTTACTTCTAGTACTGTTTCACAAATAGTCTCAAGCCGCCAGAATTGATCACCAACGCTATAAACCTTTAACAAGGTTACATTTAACACTTACACGGTTCAAGGTGGCACTCGCCAAAGAAACCTAACCGAGGTCTGTCTGAATCAATAATCAGTGATGGGTTGATATTCGACTTGAAAGCGCCGTTTATTACAGGTCCAAAAGTTGTAAGAAGCGACGTTTACTTGACCGAAATGAACGAACCACCATGGAGACACTATGCTAGAGGAATGCTACCATTGTCACCAATAGCTAAGAAAAGTCGAGAAAGTAACTGCTGGCCGAACAAAGGCGATCTTTCCGAGTTGAAAAGAGACGGCGATGGAGAAAAGTACAAAAAAGAGAAAAGGAAAAGAGGTATTGTTGTTAACGTTAACCCTCATATTAACATCATGCAACAAGAAAATAGTCCTCAAACCCAAAACAGCAGGAATGCAATGCTCAGAAGACTAGCAGATTGTTTCGCGTACAGACAGATGACTTCAAAGTCTAGGGCCAAGCGACATAGGGTTCTGGGGTTTCATCCACGCTTGTGTACGATACATGAAAATGCATCTGAACTGGCCAATGATTTGGATGCTACCTTCAATAGTTTAAACGCAGACGGAGATTTAAGGGAATTCAATACAAAGACCCCTACCCCAACTACAAAGGCCGATAACACTTTATCTACTTTGGAACAATGTGCAAGCTTTACTTCCTGTTGCCAAACAAACGATCAGACAATTGCAGCGTTACATGAAGACATCAAAGAACTTTGGATGCGGCTTGAAACTGTCGAAAAGGATTTTGCGTGGGCGAGGGGAAGCCTCTTAACAATCAGCAACAAAGATGAGACTAATAAAACATAGTTTATAATTCTACGATCTTGAGATCAGAAAGTCACTTAAAAATATCAAGACGCAATTGGGGACCAGCAGCCTTGGAAGAACAACATACAGCGATACTAGTGATAGTCAGTAAAATTTTTTAATAAGACATAGTTCAATCGCTTTAGAAACAAGACAGTTAAATTTTTAAGTGAAATCCCTGAATGAGCAGCAATTAACCAATCACAGCGGTTAGAGTGTGGCTTAATAGGGGGGCGTTTCTTTTGAGGTTTGCAATCATGTAGGCTTGTCACAATTAAGTTGACTGCGAAACCGGCTTTGAGAAAGTCTATTAATCATGTTGTGTTCGCGACCGCGTTATCCCAACAGTTTAAAGGACAACTGGCTGAAAAATTAGGTGCCATTACAGCTTCTGCGATCAGATTTACACTTAACCCCGAATTAGAGACACTCACACGTTGAAAAAATTCATGTTGTTTTTTTTGTTTTGTTTTCTGTCAAAAAAGTATCATTAATTTTAAACTCGACTCAGTTCTTCTTTCAAACCGAGTAAATCTTATTCAATAGTTAACCCTTTGACGCCTGCTTTAGTCGTTTTCGTTCCACCCGGAACGGATGCAACAACGCGTCAGCAAATATAGATCTTTTCAACGATACCTCGTTTTGGATCAGTAATCTGAACAATCCTAACAGAGTTCCACTCACCAAAAAGGTAACAATTTTTTTTTGGGGGGGGGGGGAATCCACTACCAATTTTGCTGTTTACCTTCTACTCTTTGAAGAGTAAATTTGTCCCTTTCTTCAAAGTTAAGCAACCACAATTCCATGTAAAAGAAAGACGATAAAGTGGCCAAAAAAACTTATTATAAAGAAGAAAGGCTACGGAAAAGAAGAGAGCGGGAGAGAAAGATCCGGAAATCGGTTCCCACGGTCCAAACTTTTTGTGCGCTTGCGAGAAAAAAAAAGGGCCGTAAGATACGCCCTTTTTCGTTTGCAATTCTCAAGTTCAGCCATTTTTATGCTAATTAACCAGAGACCAGTCAAAATAAGAAGAACTGGTGAAAAATGCGTCTTCTTTTTCGCTACTCTTAGGCCGTCACCAAAGGGTCAAAGGGTTAAAGAAAGTTACCAATTTGTTTCAAATTAGCCTTTTTCCATATAGTTTATTAAATTCAGCACGAAACAGGTTTGTAAACTGAAAAAGAAGCAATTCTCATGTTTAATGTTGAAAAAAAAAATCACTCGTTATGAAAACTAAAATAAGAATGACCAATTATTACCAATTAAACATTCAGTGTCATTTTGAGCTGCAAGATTTTCAGACGGAAACTGTAATTTTGAGTAGGTTAGCTTTTTACCTTGGATTTTCGTACTCAAATATCAACTTAAACGTCCCTTTTATGTATCGATATGTAACCCTTCTATCATTCCTATCCTATTTATCCTCCTTTAATATACCGCGACGAATTTGCGAATGAGGAGCTACAAATATATCATCGAGCCCTGTTTAACATTAATAAAATATGTGTATTATTCGGTAAAGAAGTTACCTCATTTGTGCCCCAGTTATACAATTTCTATAATCTTTTATGCACTTTACAAACAGTGTATCAAAGCATGAGCTGGTAAAAATACTGTATCCGATAAATTGCTACAACAACATATGCGGGAAATCTAAACAGTTTAAATTAAGAAACTAGCGTTCAAGAATGAAACTGCCATAACCGTAACTAGATCGTACTATGTAAAAAGAAACACAAATCCGCGTGTGTGGGAATATCCTATTTATTCTAAAGGGAGGGTGGGAACGCTAATAAAAAGTGCAGGCCTTATTTAAAGGACGGTTCTATGTTCTAATCCAAGCGTTTACGGTAAACTCGACTGAATTTACGACTAAACGATATATGCAAAATAGATTTAATTGTAGCGTATAAAATCGATAGAATGAACGTAGATTTTTTATTTCGCGAATCACTCGTTTTCTCTTCGACACACATACCTGTAATGGTATATAAGAGAAATATGAAGAGAGTATACTCTGAAAGTATGGTATACTAGAGGTCTGATTTCCAATATTCAGCAAGTGAAGTATGTTTATTTTGCAACAAAACAATAAATGCTAATAACAAAACGCGAAGAAGTAACAAAGGAAGGTTTCTGTAAAATACTCTGAAGAAAACTTCGTCCTCGGGGAAGTCTCTTATTACAATTTGTTCACTCAAGTAGGTGGGGTGGGGGTGAGCGCTTATTTGAGTTTGATTGGGAAGAGGACGGGATGGGTGCTTATTCGACGCTGGGCGCTTATTAACTTTTTCTGCTTTTCGGATGGGCGCTTATTCGTGGTGGGCGCTAATTCGAGGTTGGGCGCTTATTCGAATAAATACGGCAAGATTCTCAGTTCTCACGCGTTTGCCTACTCGTCAAGATGGTGTCGGACACCGTGACAAGGTAAGTTGCTCTTGAATTTAAAAACAACAATACCTAATAATTTGCAAATAATTTTCTTTCAATTAATCACTACATTTACGATCTCGAACATAATTGCTGGTACAGACAATCGCACTCAGGTGATGTATGTTAATTATTGCAATTGTTTGAGCTAAATGCTTACCGTACCAGGTAATCTGCAGCGTATAAACAACAGCGACTCACCTGGGATGCTTTCCCGCACACATCTTGTCTTGTAGAAAGACGTTTCCCTCTCACAGGCGCATTCAACGGAGCTGTTGAACATGCAAAGTCAGAGAAGAGGTGATTGAACTGAACTGAAGTAGACAAAGTTAAGCTTACATTGGTTGTTTTCAAGAGAAAGGTTACACTACATGTAGATCACTCTCCGTCTCTGCAGAACGTTTTCACTTCCAACGTTGATTTACTGAATGGAAAATAACTTCTATTTGGTTCATTACAACTAATTGGTACAATTACGAATATAGCACGGTGAGGTCAACGAATTAACACACGAAGCTAACAAGATGAGTGGCCATGTTGGAGCGCCTTCACGAAAGAGTAGCTACCCACACTACTGCACGAATTTGGCGCAGATATGGCTAATAATGAAATAAAGCTAACACTCAATGAATGAGAAACTAGTTAAAAGCCTCTTACTTTTTCGATGAATTCGGCTTTACATCCCTTGCGAAAGAAACAGATGAAATAGTTTGTCTGAAAGATGAGCTACCAAACTCCTCGTGAAAATGAAATGCCAATCAGCTGTCATTTTGCATATTTGAGCCTGCGAGGCTTTAAAAGGTGTCTGCGGTAACTCTGTTTGAAGAGCGGGGGTCGGGGGTGGGGGGGGACGGTCGGGGTCATCTCTTTTGGTTCTCCTTCCCGGCAATATCTGATAATTGAAAAATAATAATAATAACAACAAGAGTTAATATTATAAGGCTGCAATGGAAAGGGGAGGGTTTTTATAGCCGTGGAATTTTATCCTTAAGAAACAAAGTCGGCAGGGCCGTACATGATAGACACGATAGCCTACCCCGCGCACTATAAGAACACCTTGAACGACAGCTTTTGCTTTGTCCCTGTGAGAGGACCCCTGGTTTAAACCATAAACAGCAGTTGTAAACATGATGCCGTCAATAGTGTGCTCGATTGATTGGAAAGCACTTTGCACCTAACACCCGGAGGGTAATCAATAAAGTTTTATACGTGAAGGCTCCTCCCCTACGTCCAACCCCTTACTTTTTCATATGTCTTTCTGGACAGAGAAGCTACCCCTTTCGTATATATATATAAACCTTCTATTGACAAATGGTACTCCTTTTACATACGTAGTTTAGAATTCTGCATCCCTTTTAACACTGTCCTATCACTTAAATCACAAGACAAGGAGGTTCCTCGACTTTTTCTCTGCCTTGAAAATGAATTTGTTATCCCTTTTGGACCTTTTTAGGCCCTTCTTAATTATAGACCGAAATGACAGATTCCCCTACCCTTTCATATACTTTACTAGAAAACTATTTACCCGGCCTTCTAAAAAACTGAAGGCTGAAAAAGGTACCCCCTTGGGCGGAGCCTCCATACGTATAGCGGGCCATTATAGTGAGTACCCCCAGGGCTAATACCAGCGGAAAAGGTCATCAAAATACTAGAAATAACAATAAAGAAACGAGAAACGCTTAGGAATAAAAACTATAGTATACTTTTTCCGGGATACTCACTCGGAAACGGCTTATCGCCAAATGTCTGGTGCCTGTATGGTGACGCCTCAGGCTAGTTTGGGCAGCTGATCTTGATAATTTTTTTTATTTGGCATCTTTTCTTATAGTACTTCCTTTTTATTTTGTTTAACCCAACAAATTATTTATTTATTTGTTAAGGGAGCGCAACCAAGTGAAAAACTTCAAGTCTGTTTAAACAAAAAGACACAGCAGACGTTTGCTTGACCCATAACATTGCTTCAACTCGAAATCCAAAACTCGTGCAATGTTTCCTGTAGCGTAATATCCATTCGCTTCAACGCTGTCAACCACATTTCGAGAGGTCACGTCCCCTTTCTTTTTAATCTGTTTATCCTGGAGCTGGGCCATGTTGGAGTCTATTGTTAACTGACGTTCTTGGTTTAAGCATTTTTCCCCGACAAAAGAATCGCAGTACGTCCAAAATGGAACGTGCGCCGGACATCTTTTCTACATCGCCATGCCTCAACTCTACTGTACCTTTTTTTCTGCCATATGTAACAGGAGGAGTTTCAGCTTTTCTTTGTCTTATTACGGTGCCGGGAAATTTGCTCGTGGTTTTAGCTGTTTTCATTGATCCCAACAAAGATTTACGTTCTCCGTTTATGTACTTTGTTGCAAACCTTGCCATGGCTGATTTACTAGTAGGACTGGTCACCGATCCTCTATCAGCTTTCTACCACATGAAGAACGCACTTGGGCTACTTGACTACGAAACACTTTATATTCCATCTGTTCATATACCATTCTTCATCTCCTGTACTGCTTCAGTACTAAGCTTGGCCGCGTTAACTGTCGATCGCTACCTCGCTATTAGTTCACCTTTTCGATACAGGGCTAAACTGAACACGATGCGTGCGGCGATGGCTTGTGGTACAGTATGGACCCTTTCACTGAGTTTTCCGTTTGCTTACCTATATATTGGATTCTATCACTACGCCTTTCTCTTTGCTAACACTGCTGTGGCATTGACATTTCTCGTCCTATTGTTTGCCTATATACGGATTTACAAAATATTTCGTCGTCAAGTACGCGAATGGGACAAACTACATGACAGCACAGAAGAAAATCGTGTCAAGAAATGTACGATGAGATGGGAGCAAAAGATAACCAAAACTCTACTCATCATGTTAGTTTTATTTATTTCATGTTATTTTCCCGCGTGCGCTCTCATATATATTATCAATTTGTGTAACACATGTAATTGTGACCTTATTTTGTGGGCTCGTGACCTTCAGTTTTTGCTTATTTTAGCAAACAGCTCTATGAATCCGTTCATCTATTCATGGCGGTTGAGAAATTGCAGAAGAGCGTTTCTGTGGATTGTTACTTGTGGAAAGAAAGGGGGTAAACAGCGGCAGTATGTGTATTCATTCGAAATGCGAAGCTTTCGTCGCGCTTCTACACCCACTCCGTCATAAAGACAAAATACTTGTACTGGCAATTTCAATAGTTCTGTATGTAAAGTATTAAAGCAACTTTAAATGTTTATGTTCAAAATTGGTAAATAAATTGTTATGAAGAGCACCTCGTTGGAGTCGTGTTAAAGTCGATCCAGCTTAGAACTGGCCTCCCACGCAAACGTTTGATGTCTATACTACCAGTAGCCCCTCATTTTCCCTCAGGGATAGTAGGGCGAGCAAAACGAGAACGCGCGTGAAAATCGCGCGCTCGCGTTTCGCTTGCTCTACTTTCCTTGAAGGAAAATGAGGGAATAGTCGTAATCTATTTAAGGTCTTTTAAGGGGAGCTATATTTACCCGGCGACGTTTGAAACAGGTTAAACTTATTCCGATGACATTTACGTTTGATAAAGCAGCGTCGGAAACTCATAAGAAGAATGGCATTTTACCATCTATTATAGGACGTAGGGGAGGGTGATGTTAAGCCCTTGGCCTCTTCCCTCGAGCCTTACCCCCTCCATTCCTCTTTCAGTTTGTAATATAAAGTAACGGTGTTTTCTCTAAGTTTAAAATAACACACTGGCCATTACCCTTTGTTTTCAGTCTGCTACATGTTTAACGAGCTGTTTTCCTGTTTTCCTAGTGTAGAGTGCAAAAAACGACAAAAAGCAAAAAGAGCGATTTTAAAATTGGTCACCGTATTTACGGAATATTCTCTGATCTATCAAAAATATATATAATATAAAAATATATATATTATAAACATTGACAAACCACACTTACAGGAGTTAGCATAGCTAATCGAGACGAGTTGTCAAAAATAAAAACAAAAATTAACTCAACCTCCATCTTGGTCAACTTTGTACCAAGGAAAACGGAAATTTAGGTGTCACGTGAAAATGCCTAAAATCATTATTTTCCTCTCACGCTTTTTTTTTTAATGCGAACTGCGTTCAAGATTTTCATACATTTTTTTTAACAAATTATACTTCCAACAGGAGTGGAATTTATCAGGGACACCGAACGAGTGTTTTCTGTTTAATATCTGTTTTAAGAAGCAAAAAATAGCCTATAATTTTCTACAGCTTGAGGAAGTAAGGAAGGCTAAAAATTCATAGATTACCGTTCCGTTCATGCACAATTTTCATGCACAATTTTTTTCAAAGCTATTTTTTCGTAGAAAAAGAAAAGTTAAAATTGTCGGATTCGAAAAGAGAGAGGTATCAGAAAAGTTTTTACTTTCGTAAAACTTTAAATTGCGTCTAAAACTTTCGGGAATAATAATAACGAAGCCCTTTTAATTTCGAAAAGACTCAAGTACTCCTAGGATGATCGAACAAATACAAATTATATAGCGCCACTTAGAATACATTTTTATAGATCTAAACAGGCTGTCTAAAAGCACTCTGGATAGCCTAAAAAGTGTTTTCAATGTATTGAGGAGGAAACAGTCATTGAGTGGCCCTGATCTACGACCCCAGATGCACTACCACTAAGCTTCAGAAGACTACTGGGAGCTAGGGCCATTAAACTACGTAAAACTTGGTTAACGTTACAAACATTTTCGACGTCATTAAGCCACCTCTCAAGACACCAGGGAAAGGTTTAAGGACCCTGTCAGAATGGCTCCATCACCTATATTCGCGGTGTTCCCTGGCTTACACACGGTAACCACCTGTCTCGCCTAGCCAACTCACAGGCTTGAGGGCTTCTCCGTCCTACGTTTGGAATGGAGAGAGAGAGGAACGCAGTATAAGGAAAGATTTTCCGCAGTGACTTGTGGCATGGGAAATAGGCACTGACAAGGGCTCAAAACGTGAGAGTGTTGTCGACGCACGTTTCGGCAATACTCAAAAAGTGAATTACCTTACGATCAGGATAAATCACTTTTAATGTTAATTAAAAGATAACAGAACTTAACAAAGCAGTCCTAAAGTGGCGATGCTATTCGCTAACTAACAAGAAAGGAAACTAGAAGGAAAAGTGATAGGGAAAAAGACCGACTTTGACCAATGGGAAGAAACTCGGTTGAATATAGGCATGGTACTGCGCGAAAGCTCACCGGACCAGAGTCACGTCTGAGGTGTAAATGTTGTTAAACTGTGAGATTAGGGAAGACCATAAAGGCTGCACGAACTTTCTTTGAACCCAAAATAAAGGTCAAAAAGCGCAAATCCTAAACAAACACTTAACAACCCCTTCATATAATAAATAACCACTTCAAACGACGCCAAAAATATCTGAGTAGAGTAATAATCTGTAATGAACGGTCAACTGTATACTAGGAACACTAGAAACAAAAGTACTATAGTACTTCATATCGCTATGCTTTGACATAATTGTCGTCATTCGTAGTTCATTGAACATGTTGATGGCTTTTTCCATCATATTTATTTCAATGACAAGACTCTTAGCGTCATCCAGCTTACAAAAGATCTTGATTAACAACAGGTGAATGTCAACACAAAGGTGATCAGCCAAGCGTGTAATACCACGAAACACCATCATTTACAAACAAAAGACAACTAATTTACGCTATGTTAACACTGCCAGGAACATAGGACAAATGAAAGCCGTCGGTGGAAGGCATAATCCAGTCTTGTTGAGATGAATCAAATGTAGTTTCCTCGATTTGTACTCGGAGACCTCCTGACGGCAATCCACCGACCTTCTTTGGTCAGACAGCTTGATTAAGGGCCGCGAAACAGGTAGAGTAATTATAAATGACAACCAGCTACGAATGACTTCACAAAAGCGAAGTCGGTTGCTTTGACGAATATTGGTCTCGTCTAGTTTCATCAGTCGACGTCTCCAGTCTTTTAAAAGTTTCCGTAGGTTAACAAACTAAGACCTGTACCTACCAGTGCCCACAAGGCCGAGAAGAAAGAGGAAGTACCGAAGAAATTCGAACACTTTAAAGGCATCAAACGAGTTGTTTATAGTCTTTACAATGTATCACATCGTCTGTTTGCGTTTGCAACGTGTTTAAAACCATCGAACGACAACTATTCTTGATCAACTGGCCCGTGGGAAACGTCAAGTATTGGAGACATCATACCAGTTTAAGCTGCGGCATAAACTGCCGCCAGTTGTGTCTTCTATCACTGTTACTTCTAGTACTGTTTCACAAATAGTCTCAAGCCGCCAGAATTGATCACCAACGCTATAAACCTTTAACAAGGTTACATTTTTCACTTACGCGGTTCAAGGTGGCACTCGCCAAAGAAACCTAACCGAGGTCTTTCTGAATCAATAATCAGTGATGGGTTGATATTCGACTTGAAAGCGCCGTTTATTACAGGTCTAAAAGTTGTAAGAAGCGACGTTTACTTGACCGAAATGAACGAACCACCATGGAGACACTATGCTAGAGGAATGCTACCATTGTCACCAATAGCTAAGAAAAGTCGAGAAAGTAACTGCTGGCCGAACAAAGGCGATCTTTCCGAGTTGAAAAAAGACGGCGATGGAGAAAAGTACAAAAAAGAGAAAAGGAAAAGAGGTATTGTTGTTAACGTTAAGTCTCATATTAACATCATGCAACAAGAAAATAGTCCTCAAACCCAAAACAGCAGGAATGCAATGCTCAGAAGACTAGCAGATTGTTTCGCGTACAGACAGATGACTACAAAATCTAGGGCCAAGCGACACCGGGTTCTGGGGTTTCATCCACGCTTGTATACGATACATGAAAATGCATCTGAACTGGCCAATGATTTGGATGCTACCTTCAATAGTTTAAACGCAGACGGAGATTTAAGGGAATTCCATACAAAGACGCCTACCCCAACTACAAAGGCCGATAACACTTTGTCTACTTTGAAGCGATGTGCAAGCTTTACTTCCTGTTGCCAAACAAACGATCAGACAATTGCAGCGTTACATGAAGACATCAAAGAACTTTGGATGCGGCTTGAAACTGTCGAAAAGGATTTTGCGTGGGCGAGGGGAAGCCTCTTAACAATCAGCAACAAAGATGAGACTAATAAAACATAGTTTATAATTCTACGATCTTGAGATCAGAAAGTCATTTTAAAATATCAAGACCAACTGGGGACCAGGAGCCTTGGAAGAACAACATACAGCGATACTAGTGATAGTCAGTAAAATTTTTTAATAAGACATAGTTCAATCGCTTTAGAAACAAGACAGTTAAATTTTTTAGTGAAATCCCTGAATGAGCAGTAATTAACCAATCACAGCGGTTAGAGTGTGGCTTAATACGGGGGCGTTTCTTTTGAGGTTTGCAATCATGTGGGCTTGTCACAATTAAGTTGACTGCGAAACCGGCTTTGAGAAAGTCTAGTAATCATGTTGAGTTCGCGACCGCGTTATCCCAACAGCTTAAAGGACAACTGGCTGAAAAATAAGGTGCCATTACAGCTTCTGCGATCAGATTTATACTTAACCCCGAATAAGAGACACTCACACGTTGAAAAAATTAATGTTGTTTTTTTTGTTTTGTTTTCTGTTAAAAAAAGTATCATTAATTTTAAACTCGACTCAGTTCTTCTTTCAAACCGAGTAACTCTTATTCAATTATAGTTAACCCTTTGACGACTGCTTTAGTCGTTTTCGTTCCACCTGGAACGGATACAACAACGCGTCAGCAAATATAGATCTTTCCAACGATACCTCGTTTTGGATCAGTAATCTGAACAATCCTAACAGAGTTCCACTCACCAAAAAGGTAACATTTTTTTTTTTGGGGGGGGGGGGAATCCACTACCAATTTTGCTGTTTACCTTCTACTCTTTGAAGAGTAAATTTGTCCCTTTCTTCAAAGTTAAGCAACCTTAGTTCCATGTAAAAGAAAGACGATAAAGTGGCCAAAAAAACTTATTATAAAGAAGAAAGGCTACGGAAAAGAAGAGAGCGGGAGAGAAAGATCCGGAAATCGGTTCCCACGGTCCAAACTTTTTGTGCGCTTGCGAGAAAAAAAAAAGGGCTGTAAGATACGCCCTTTTTCGGTTGCAATTCTCAAGTTCAGCCATTTTTATGCTAGTTAACCAGAGACCAGTCAAAATAAGAAGAACTGGTGAAAAATGCGGCTTCTTTTTCGCTACTCTTAGGCCGTCACCAAAGGGTCAAAGGGTTAAAGAAAGTTACCAATTTGTTTCAAATTAGCCTTTTTCCATATAGTTTATTAACTTCAGCACGAAACAGGTTTGTAAACTGAAAAAGAAGCAATTCTCATGTTTAATGTTGAAAAAAAAAAATCACTCGTTATGAAAACTAAGATAAGAATGACCAATTACCAATTAAACATTCAGCGTCATTTTGAGCTGCAAGATTTTCAGACGGAAACTGTAATTTTGAGTAGGTTAGCTTTTTACCTTGGATTTTCGTACTCAAATATCAACTTATACGTCCCTTTTATGTATCGATATGTAACCCTTCTATCATTCCTATCCTATTTATCCTCCTTTAATATACCGCGACGAATTTGCGAATGAGGAGCTACAAATATATCATCGAGCCCTGTTTAACATTTATAAAATATGCGTATTATTCGGTAAAGAAGTTACCTCATTTGTGCCCCAGTTATACAATTTCTATAGTCTTTTATGCACTTTACAAACAGTGTATCAAAGCATGAGCTGGTAAAAATACTGTATCCGATAAATTGCTACAACAACATATGCGGGAAATCTAAACAGTTTAAATTAAGAAACTAGCGCTCAAGAATGAAACTGCCATAACCGTAACTAGATTGTATCTGTAAAAAGAAACACAAATCCGCGTGTGTGGGAATATCCTATTTATTTTAAAGGGAGGGTGGGAACGCTAATTAAAAGTGCAGGCCTTATTTAAAGGACGGTTCTATGTTCTAATCCAAGCGTTTACGGTAAACTCAACTGAATTCACGCTCTTTTTTTTTTTGTAAGAATATTGTCTTTCCGGCCCAGGCTGAATATTCTTATTTTTCTGCCGATTTTAGGCTGAAAATATTATTGTATTATTCTTAAATTATAGCTTATGACATTTCCGTTTTAGAATTTATTGGGGTATCAATTACAAGTGTTTGGTATCTAGATCTGTGCTGAATACTGTACATATGTGTTACATGTACCGTTCATCGAACTGTCATTAGCGTTGAACATTTTGCTATAGCTAGTGCAGGTTTTTTCGTTTTGTTGGCTAGTTTCGCCGTTTAGAGAAAGGAATAATTTAATACGGTTAAGTTAAAAACGTAAAATTGTATTGTATTTACAGATGTTTCAACACACAAAATTATATCTATCCTTCTCAAAATCTCACTCAGCCTCGGCTTTATTCTTAAAATATTCTTAAAATTTCGCAAATTTCAGCCTCGATATTCTTATAAAATATATTCTTATAAAAAAAAAAGAGTGTATGCAAAATAGATTTAATTGTAGCGTATAAAACCGATAAAATGAACGTAGATTTTTTATTTCGCGAATCACTCGTTTTCTCTTCGACACACATACCTGTAATGGTATATAAGAGAAATATGAAGAGAGTATACTCTGAAAGTATGGTATACTAGAGGTCTGATTTCCAATTCAGCGCATTCAGGAGCGCCCACAAGCGTCAGTCGACCTCAAAAGCTTGGCGTGTGCCTGTAATTACCCATAACTGATTTTAGGATTGAACTAGAGCTAATTAAAACACGGTCAAGTCAGCTTTCGTCGAATTTGAGAGTTTTAGGTTTTGCATGGAATGATGAACGTAAATTAGAGCATCCATGTTATGGCAAAAATTACATAAATTTAAATAATCACTTGAGTTTGCCTCTCAAAGAAGGAAGTACAAGCTGTGGTTGATTGTGTTCTCGAATCATCTCAATCGAAAAAGCGTCGATATCGCGGTAAAACGTTGATGGATGAATTGCAAGAGAAGGTTTGCGCTGAAGCCAGAACTGTGTAACATTTGTTGGCATCAGTTGTTTTGCTTGAGTCGTTGGCGAAGAAAATTGTTGATTACAAGCTCTGACAGTTTTACTTTCGGGGCCATCACATCGCAAAGACCTATTGTCACGGTCACCTTTAACTTCAATGCGAGGAATAGATGGAAGAAAACGTTTTGCTCTCCTGCTGACATAACGGGATCCATTCAAGTTGTTTCGTTTCAAGGCAGAAGGGCCAAGAACATCGCTGTCGGCGATACGGAATGCATCTGTTATCGTTCGTCTGCACTTAAGATTGTGATTGTCCATGTCAGTTCACAGGCTTCGTTTGAGTTTAGTACACGGTTCTACTCAGTGTGACAGGGCAAACCAATACTGAGTTAACCGTGTCCTCATTGCCGTACACCGGTTGGTCTAAGTAAATCAGCAATTGTCTTCTTGGACTTTTCTCCGATCTTAATCAGTTAACCTGTGCACCTCTTCAGATCAAATTTCAAGGTAGCAAGTCTGATTGATCGCGTGAGTGCTCAGTTTCCAGTACTTAACAATGATGTGTCCAGTACAAAAACTGTATTGAATATAGCACAACTTCAATCCCAGACGGGGTGAGTAACGGACGAAAATTACAAAAAGTAGAGTGCTTACCAAGGCTGACGAGAGTGTGCTTGCCAGCCTGTTACAGGCGTTCAGAGAATAGAGCGTGGCGGTGAGTGGGGAGCGAGTTAAATTGTATACCTGGAAAACGAGGGAGGGGGGGGAGGGGAGGAAGGGACGAGGGAGGACTACAGCTAGTTTTTTTTCTTATTTGCGAATATTTCTTCCGCGCTTTACTGTCTGAACGCCTGGAACAGGCTACCAACTAACGTGAACTATGTACGGAGATTTATGGTTGGAAACTATTACAAAGATATCGCACGCATTTCATTATCCACACATCAGACACATTTAAAGCTAATACAATTTCATTGGAAAGTAAAAGGACTGAAAGCCAAGTCAGCAAGCTGACGCTGGGATGACCCGAACTGGCCCGGGTGGAAACCAAACTGCTCCACTTTATTATTAAATCGAGCAATCATACGATAGAGCGAGACTAGCCTGCGGGTAGATTCGACATTAGCGAGGAATAGTGCCGCCGAAGTGTTTCCCGAATTCGCACAAGTGAGCCTGCTCGCAGGTTTACTAAGTTAGGTCTAACTAGGAAGTGAGGCTGTGGTTATTTTTCTTGGCTCTTAATAAAACTTTATTTATATTTAACTGATACTGTGGTTCAGCAAACATGCGGTTGCCATATTTGTCCCACGAGTGCTTTTCTCAAGACAAAAGAAATGCGGAGTATTTTAATCCGATTCAGGCATGCGTGACCTTCAGTCAATTGTGGTATTAGCTTTATTCCAAAACATCGTATTAAGAGAATGAATTTTAATTAGTTGGTAGCTTAGCACGGACATTCGCTCAACATCGTAAACAGGAGCGTCATAAATTGAGCAAATGATATGAACAAACACTAGGAACCTGTATGGTATACGCTATAACCTTTCAGATTACATCAACAGGATGTACCTCTTCTATGATGACTATGATTTATGAACTCAGTGATTGCTTACTACGTTGTCAGGTTTCATAATGAAGTGATTTCAAGCTGACAGTATGCCATACAGAGAATGCTTTCAACGTTCAACTCTTCCAAAACTGATTGACGATCACCGTTCTTCTGGAAAACACAAAGACTGGAGCCAGGCATCGTCACAAGTTAATGCAAGAGAAAGGCTTCGGTTTCAAAGTTATGCAGACAAACTCTCAGGCGGGATTCAATATTGGCATAAACATAAACAGAAGTCGATTAAGCCAAGAGCGTGGAATTCTACAAGGAGTAACAAAAGCCAGCCTCCAGGCTTGTCTCAAAATTCAAAGTGCGCTAAATGCGGTGGATTGCTCTCCGAACAAATCAGTGTTCGACCTCAAGTTAAGGAGCGTCGCTCGTGCGGTTTTGGAAAGGAATACTGCGATGTCATAGGTCCGTGTGCCGATTGCTGCTTAGCAGAGCAACGGAATGCCATAGCTGACAAACAGACGGTTGAGTTCCCAGGTTTGGAGGTTACACCACGAAGACTAGTTGCACCAGCTTTAGTGCAGGTTATGATGGCAAACAAAGGCGATAACGTGTCTGAACTCGAGCACAGTCATCAAAGCAAAAGTAGTGTGTTAGAGCTTCCACCGATTTCCTTTGATACGGTTAGATATATGAGGAGAGAGGCAGGAAGCAGCAAACACAAAAGAAAGAGCTTTATGGAGGACCATCAAAAACAGACTTTAAAAAAATACATCGAAATTCGTTTACCAAAAATTTAAGGCCTTATGAATGTGAAATGTAATGAAATACGAAGGACAAAATGAGTAAAGACCGAGTTAAGGACGAACTGGTGAAAATATTCAAGACTTCGCTGACTTCAGAGGTAGTGCATGGTTTTATTACTACAGTTCTGTTTCGTGTGGCCAAAAGATGACCGCACTCACTCATCGGGTAATATGAAAAAAACAAAAAAAAGAATAAAAAACTGTTGTTATAAATAAAACTCACTTTTACCAGCAGTTAAAATGTAATTATTACAATATCTTTGGTAAAAGTATTTGACACCACTGAAATATCGTGGGATAAAATCTAAAATCAAACAACAAGTCAAAGGCATGAATATTGCCTTTTCATGACTGTAGGGCAATCTGGTGGTTCAAACAAACAACGGATCAAGGTTTAAGCGCACCTGTTAAAAAAGGCGTTCCATTACCGAACTTACTGATTGGTATATCGTTGATTCAGTATCTGGAGACCTAAAGGAAGAGGCATTTAAGAGACATTGCTTGCTCATGATTTTCGAGGCTGAAATAAGCAATTTATACTCTGAGCCACTTGGCAAACAAAATGACATAGTAGTCAGTGTTTCTCGTACGGGGTCCCAACCAGGAACCTCTGGGGGACTCCCGTAAAAAAGTGACGGGGATGCTCGTCGTATCGCTTTGGAGAGTAAATTTTTGCAGATTTTGGTCTCACTTTTATGTGTTTGGGATGGGGCGTCACTATTATATGTTTGCCCATTCAGGTATCGGTTAGTACTGTACATAAAGAAATTTACAAAAAATGCCCTCACATTGACAACACAGAAATCTCCCTTAGGGGTTAGTTTAAACTCGAGCCACACCCACATTGGTCTCCTTAGGGGTCAGGAGGGGGGTTTAATTTGAATTTTCCGATGAACATCCCCGTCACTTTTAAATGGGAGTCCCTCCTCCCCCCTCCCCCCTTGGGCCAGGAACCCATAACCCGGGCGAGCAACTCTCATTCTAGGCTTATGTCACATCGTTTTCTCTGTCGGTTTACTTTTAGACACATTTTAGACTCCTTTATTCTCTGTGAAAATGTGAAAATGAAAACCCTACTCCGTCTATGAGCCCAATCAAAGTATAAGATATGGAAAAGAAAAACCAAACGTCATTAAAGGTCAAAAGTACCATTTTCAGGTCTGCAGGGTCTGCTGACTGATTCAGTTGTGAGACTGGTAATATCCTAATTAAGTAATCGTCGTACTTAATTGGCTTCACGTTCGATTGATAGTTTCCTTTTATATGATCTACGGTCAGCGGTTTTACTCGCTTTGAATAAGAAGAAAGTGATCCTTATTTTGGGGGAGAGGGCCGAGTCATGCCTGAAGAATAAGGCCCTGTTCGTACTAGGCCAAATTTTGTTTGTTTTCCAAAAAACTTTCTTTACAAAAACCATAAAGGCTTCGGTATGGGTGAAGGGGTAATATCTGAAGCCATGCTATGAGGTGCTTTTATTTATTGTAATGAATTTTTCCCAAGTGGTTTGATATAAATGGAGCTCAATGGATAGGCGAGTATCACATGCAGTATATTATTAAAGGAACACTGATTTTCGTGAAGCACCTGCTAATTTCTCGAGTGTTAATTGAAAAGCTTTGTCAGTAGCATCATAGTAACATCTGTATATTATCTGAAAGAGAAAGAGGTGAAACAAGATGTTTTGGAAAACGTTTCTGATCGACAATTAGAGACCATAGCAAATTCTTTTGCTTGCGTGACAAAAGGTTTTATTCAAATATTGAGTCAACCTCATGTGCTTTTATAGTGTCAATCAATTTTGCAAGGTCTACTTATTGGTGAGTCGGCGGCATTTGCACTCTTAATTGCTCCAGATATGACTGAGCCTCCAAAAGTGGTTACCCTCAACGTAGGGGGACAGGTTATACCATTTTCAGGTCTGCAGGGTCTGCTGACTGATTCAGTTGTGAGACTGGTAATATCCTAATTAAGTAATCGTCGTACTTAATTGGCTTCACGTTCGATTGATAGCTTCCTTTAATATGATCTACGGTCAGCGGTTTTACTCGCTTTGAATAAGAAGAAAGTGATCCTTATTTTGGGGGAGAGGGCCGAGACATGCCTGAAGAATAAGGCCCTGTTCGTCCTAGGCCAAATTTTGTTTGTTTTCCAAAAAAACTTTCTTTACAAAAACCATAAAGGCTTCGGTATGGATGAAGGGGTAATATCTGAAGCCATGCTATGAGTGCTTTTATTTACTGTAATGAATTTTTCCCAAGTGGTTTGATATAAATGGAGCTCAATGGATAGGCGAGTATCACATGCAGTATATTATTAAAGGAACACTGATTTTCGAGAAGCACCTGCTAATTTCTCGAGTGTTAATTGAAAAGCTTTATCAGTAGCATCATAGTAACATCGGCATATTATCTGAAAGAGAAAGAGGTGAAACAAGATGTTTTGGAAAACTTTTCTGATCGACAATTAGAGACCATGGCAAATTCTTTTGCTTGCGTGACAAAAGGTTTTATTCAAATATTGAGTCAACTTCATGTGCTTTATAGTGTCAATCAATTTTGCAAGGTCTACTTATTGGTGAGTCGGCGGCATTTGCACTCTTAATTGCTCCAGATATGACTGAGCCTCCAAAAGTGGTTACCCTCAACGTAGGGGGACAGGTTCATACCACCACCCTCTACACTATAACACAGTATTCTGACTCAAAACTTGCAGAGATTTTCAATGGAGAGAGCAGCGTACCCAAAGACCCAAAGGGAAGCTACTTCATCGATCGAGATGGTGTATTATTCAAGCATGTCTTAAACTTCTTGCGAACCCGTAAGCTGGTCTTGCCCGACGATTTTAAAGAGTTTGAACAGCTCGAGATAGAGGCAAATTTCTACAAAATCAAATCTTTACAAGAAGAAGTCAAGAAAGCTAAAGAATCCCATCAATCTGTCGATTCTGGCCCAGAGATTTTACGACTCTTTTACAGCTCCGGGACAAAGCTAGTGTTAGCTGGCGGATTAGGAATGCTTCAACAACTCGTACCCAATATACGTTTGCTCGGAGGTTCCATTGCAAAAGGTCCTGCTTATAACTTCAGTACTGCTAAGGGAGTTGTCGAGGGAGGGCAAGTTACAGTTCCGCTTAAGTTGGAGCAACTGGATGCTTTTCTCCAACACGTCGTCAACGAGGGCTTTGAGGTCAAGATGTCAGATTTCTTCTTAGATGGTAATGCAAGTCAAGTCTGGGTATTTGTGCGAAAGTAGTATCGAAATACACAATGCATTGGCTCTACACAAGAGAGAATAATTATCATCACTCTTGCTCTTCAAGAATAAAAAGAATTTTCAGTTAGAAAAAGGGACTAATTTTGTATTCTAATGTGTGATAAAGACAAATGAAACTTGTTAGGGGTACGTTCAACTGCCTTAACTTAAAAAAAAATTCCATAAAATGCCATGAGGCGACGGAATTCTGTAGACAGCTAAATGTTGCAAGTAAGCCATGATTTGATTCGCTTACGTTAAGGTGCAACTTATAGTTAAGTAATGTTTAGGGTTTTTAATAGTAAGATTGTCGGTTAGTCCGCTATCGCGTCCTCGAGTGCCTGACAGTGTCATCATACATGAACGGGCACTATAACCGTTAATGTTAGGACTGATAGTTGCGCTTAATGTGAAGTGCCTCACACTGATATTAAAAGATTACACTATATAAATCAACAATGAAAATATTGTATTGTTTGCAGAATAAAAAAAGTAGAATACGGTATTGCAGCGTCAAAGATAACAAAAGGACTCGCAAATGGCAGGTTGTTGATTATAGACTTAGTCCAAGACACTCCCAAATATCCAAGTACTTTAATCTTTTTACAACTATTCCAATTATTCTATCATTTGTTCACAGTGACTCAAACCATAATATGGGTCATTTCCTGCATAAAGTACTAATGGATCAGACTCATAGNGTTTTTAATAGTAAGATTGTCGGTTAGTCCGCTATCGCGTCCTCGAGTGCCTGACAGTGTCATCATACATGAACGGGCACTATAACCGTTAATGTTAGGACTGATAGTTGCGCTTAATGTGAAGTGCCTCACACTGATATTAAAAGATTACACTATATAAATCAACAATGAAAATATTGTATTGTTTGCAGAATAAAAAAAGTAGAATACGGTATTGCAGCGTCAAAGATAACAAAAGGACTCGCAAATGGCAGGTTGTTGATTATAGACTTAGTCCAAGACACTCCCAAATATCCAAGTACTTTAATCTTTTTACAACTATTCCAATTATTCTATCATTTGTTCACAGTGACTCAAACCATAATATGGGTCATTTCCTGCATAAAGTACTAATGGATCAGACTCATAGTGGGTCAGGCAGAGCAGCAAGCTGTATGTAGACACACCTTTAAGACCTTTAACCGTTCCGTTAAATTAATTGTTTATCTTCCTTGTCTCGTAATTGTGTGTTTAGGAAATGTTCGAGCATTCTTCTCCGGCATGGAGAACAACACAGACTTTCTGAAAGCCCGTTTCCGGTTTCTGCTGGTTAGGCTTATGTGGCTCATCTCATAATTCGGCTAACCGATTTTTTGAAAAGCAACCTAACGAAATTTGCAGTCATTTGAGTGAGAGGGCATCAAAATGCAGGTTTCTTAAGCCTGATAAGCTCAAAAATCACAGTAACGAAGGAAAACGAAAGGAGAAAAAGAAAGAGCGGAGATAAGGAGAAGAGTACAAGAAAAAAAAGCAATGGCTGCACTCTTAGTTTTTCTGATAGCTACTTTGGTTCATTTGGCGATGACGTTTTCAAAACTCCGGCTAAGATTACATCCAAGGCAAGAGATCAAACAAGCTCTGTTGAGCTTTAGACGATCTCCGCTTTATTCTAAATAGATGTAAAACATAATATTTATCAGACGTCTTTCTTTTCTGCTCACATCTCTTTCCACCGTCATGCACCGTCCCCACGATCTGAACCCTGGAACAGGCTACCCACCTTATGACACACGCCTTTAAGACTTGTCCAAGAAAAGTCGATCGTATCATACATGACTACGTAAGTGAGACAAAATTGAGTCCGCGGTTCATAATTAATAGGTGTAGTTTCAATTTCGGCTGTCGTCAAGCAGGAAACTAAGGTCATCAGCAAATTGAATCCCGAAAAGTCATGACAGGAAATCGCAGTATTCATTCTGATCGAGCGCATCCCTGCGCAGAATGTGTGAATAGTGTTTTCATTGACCACCCTCAGACAAGAAAGTAACTATTGCAAATAATCACCGTCAGTGAACCAATATTGAGGTAACCTTGAGAAGCAAGCTGTTTTTGTGACTTTAGGACCCACCATGGATCTCGCTCTGGGCGTGGGTAACCTTTCGGTAACATCGTGTGACGTTTTGCTACTGTCACTGACTACCACAGAACCGGAAATCGTTGATGTGCCAAATTCAGCTTGCTAGCGAAACAACCGATGGTCTGTTTTTGATAAATTACAATCATTTTAAGGTAAGTAAAAGCTTTTGAACGAGTCGTGTCTTGTTGTATACGAAGTTTTGTAATTGCTCACCGAACAGTCATGTAAGATATTCTGTTAGAATTCGGGAAATTAAGACCAGGGTCATATGAGTTTTCTCCGGAGTTGTTACGTGTAGGGTTACCGAAATAATCCCTAATGTTTTTTGTACACAGGAAAAATGATTTCGGTAAATGAAATTCGTTTTTCGTCAAGTAACGAAAAGACACAAACATACATGGATTTATGTACCTCTTTATGAATTAATTAGTTTAATGGAGTGTAATAGTTTTAAAATTGATTCTCGTCAGTAGCATGGGCTCCTGGTCTCGTGAAAACTCTATTGCGACACCACATACGCAAGGTGCTCCGTATTCAATCCTAGCCACCTTAGATTCATACACATAGTTGACTTTATTTCACTCCAAAAGCACTTACATTTGTAATGATTTTTAACCCAGGCTAATCGGTTCCTGACACAGGGACATCATACTTCCTCCGACAACAGACGATTTAAGACTAGACTACGCCTAATTATAAAACTGATTAGCAGGATGTTATTAGCCAGTGTAGCGAACCCCCCTCCCCTCAGAAAAACAAAAATTGAGGGAAGGGGGATCTGTACACAGGCTAGATGTTTTAAACAAATTCCGGTATTCCCTCTGCCACTGTTAATAGCAAAAAATCAAATTTTTCTCACGATGCCTGACTCTGTTTTTTCTTCTGTGTTATATAAAAACAGTGTTGTTATGGCTCCGATGGCACAGTGTTTTTTTTTACAGGATTCGGCTGCTGCTAAACGAACTGTACCCTTTGAAATACATGTCCGTTTTAGCACCCTGTTCAATGCTGTGGACAAAAGCGTTCTTTTCTTTCATCACACCCTACTAAAACGAGTTCGAGCAAAATTATATTCAGTAAAACACGAATGACAGTGGCCATATCGAGAAGTCAATAGCAAAGTTCTCGCTTAATAGAGGCTTCAATGTGCCCTCTTCGGGACAGAACGGCCAAAATCTGTAGTCCGTCTAGTAATACGCCATCGTGAAGGCCAAGTTCGAAAGCGCCCCTCCCCACAAATAGCTAGGCGCGTCAGTTGATCTGCTGTGTTATTTTTCGCTTATCTGGCACTTCCTCGCTTGTCGAGACACGCAAATAGAGCTACGTATTTCGACGAAATGTGACCTTGAGCAGTCTATATTAAGAATTGTTTTAATCATATGGGAAAACTTTTTTAACTTAGCGACCGTTCACGAAAAGAGATCGTGGGTGTATGGTACATATGTACATGAACAACCTCGTCCCCAGGGCTTGTTGATACATGAACTCTATTTATAATCGAGATTCAGAGTAGCTTGAAAGGCTAATATCTTCGAGAATATAAGTAATATAAAAGAAACAATAAGAATCAGCAATCCACACGAAGGCCTTAAGGTTGAACTCTCCATGATAGTCAATTTACCATTATCATAAAAATAATTTTTATGACAAAATTATCCTAACTGATTTTCATTCTGTCCCCCCTCCCCCAAGACAGTCTTGGATTCTGAATTCCACGCTATGGATCTCGGATTCCAAAAACTGGATTCGTATTCCTCGTCAGTGGAACTTGGATTTTGAATACCAATTTTAAGCGGGACTCTGGAATCCTGGGGCTGAAATTCGGATTCCAAAGCCCAGTTTTCCAGATCCACGAATACTTTGCATGTGGCCGGTGAATTCTGAGATAGACATGCAAGCAAGTTTGATTAGAATCTCCACTCACAACCTCATTCCAGATACAATGTCACTGCATGTTGAACGAGAATGGCTAAAACTAAAAAACAACTCATCTCTGAAGTGGAGGTGACTTGCAAGTGCAATACTCGCTTCCAAGCAGTTCGTCATCCAGGACGGTTGAAAATGCTATGCAGTGGCTCGGGAATTACCACTTTCTATTTTTTTTTTGGCCCCTCACAAAAGCGGACCAGGAAATAATTAACCCTTTTTAGACCGCTAGGGTCTCATGCGACCCATATGGAACGATGTATACATTCCTCCCTGAACCCATTTAGCTTTCAATTGAATTTAATAAATCGGTAGGCAACAACGTCAGCAAAGATAGATCTTTCCGGCGATACATCGGTTTGGGTATTCTGACTAATCCTGACGGGGTTACACTCACAAAAAAGGTAACATTCTGGGGAAAAATCCACTGCCAATTTCGCTGTTTACATACTACAACAAATTAAATTTGTCCCTTTCCTAAAAAGTTAGCCAGCCATAATTACATGCAAAAGAGAGACGATAAAGTAGGCGAAAAACCGCTAATAAAGAAGGAAAAGAAGGGAAAAAGAGAGCGAGAGAGAAAGGTCGAAATAGATTCGCAAAAAGTCTAAATTTTGGCTATAGAGCATGCGTGGAAAACAAAACTCGTTTTTAGCCATTCCATTAGCCGAAAACTAGTCCAAAGAAGAGGAATTGGTGAAATTAGCGTTTTTTTCGCTACTCGCCGGCCAGGAAGCCCAGGAAGTTGTTAGTGGAACGTGTCTTCATTAAGTTAAACCAGTATACTTGTTAAAATTTAATTTACACTCTCTCAAAATCCCAAAAAGAGAGTTTGTAAGAGGACGTTCGATGTAAAACATTCGAATTTGCTGCGAAATTGCCAAGAGATTCTCTTGCAAACTGGGGAAAGGTCTTGGAGAAAGTTGGTTTTGCCTTTTAAAACATTTTTATTTAGTTTGACACAGACTTAACATCAATAGCTAAGACGTTAAGATTACGGGATTGATGAAAATACAGTGAAGTGAGGTTCTTTTTTCTTATTTTCTACATTTTACAGCTTCAGAAGATGGAGAAAGCTCAAACACTTCCATCGATAATCGACATTAACGTTGGCGGCCATGTTTATACAACATCGTTGGCTAGTCTGACCAGGTATCCTGATTCTATGCTGGGTGTTATGTTCAGTGGTCGTCGTCCGGTTGCCAAGGATTCTCGGGGATGTTTCTTTATCGATCGTGATGGTCCAATGTTTCGGTACGTCTTAAATTTCTTACGCTCTTCCAAGTTAAATTTACCGGAAGGTTTTCAAGAATTTGATCAGCTCATGGAAGAGGCCGATTTCTATCAAATTGATCCACTAATCGAAGCTTTACGAAAGGTGAAGTCCTCACAAAGACCTGTTGCGAGTTGTCAAGTCATTCGTCTTACTCTGGACCGAGACAAACATGGATTGGAAACACTGTTGACCGTGTTTGCCGAGAGTCCCATACTGGAAGAAGTTTTCCGGGGACATGATTGTGTCGGAAGCTCTCTCATCTTTTCTTTTGATAAAGAACAGGCAGACTCATCAACTGCAGCAATTCTGCAAGAAATAATAAACCATGGGTTTGAAGTGATGACGAGACTCTCACATCCTGAAGATAAATCCATCAATGAATGGTTTTTCTTTCGTAAACGTCGTTGAAAGAAGACAAAATGAACAGAATGAGTCTCTGGGAGAAGGTTTTGACGTCAGTGTGGCATCTTCGAATTTCCTCTCTATAAGTGTGACAACACTTCTATGTCCGTTAAAAAAACAAGTATAGACCTTTTTAGCAAAATAAAGGTTATTTATCTGTCATCTTCGTAGTGTTATCATCATCATCAACATTATCGTCATCATCATCATTGTTTATTATTATTATTATTATTATTATTATCATTATTATTATTATCATCATTACTATAATCCGTACTGTATGATAATAATTAAAATCTTTATTACAAAACCTCAATTAAAATCCTATTTACAATCAACCTGCTGTTACAAAAAATCTAGTTAATTCATCAAAACACTATCTACAATTCCATCGGTTACAAAAGAAACCCCTCGGCCTTCATTAGAGAACAAAAACAATCCTATATATAATAAGTGAAGAAAGAAACTATTCATTTACAAATTCTAAAAAATAGAAGTAACTTAACCTTACATAAAAGAAGAGGAAATAGATATAATTCATAATAAAAGTTCAAAATTCTATAAAATAAAGAATACCATTATGCAGAGATATTAAGATCATACAATCGAATCATACTAATGACGGCTAAACCAGTGTCCATAAAATGCCCTAAATAAAAGCATATAGACACGTATTTCAGATATCCGCACTAGCGACATTTATTTCACAGTCTAATGATTGCTCTATCTTGCTACGAAGCGGCGTTGGCGAACCTCTGACACATGCATGTACCGATCTTAAGAGTTCAAACGAGATCTGTGTCCTGAGCCAAGTGATTACATCATGATAAGGCTCGGTGTCTTTCTGAGCTATCTTGTCTGCGAGATGTATTGTATTGTGTACTGTATTGCTCATAACATCAGTTATGAAAGTCTCGTTATTTGCAGATGTCAGAGCAAGGTTTGCGATGAGCAGTGGTTCGGCCAGCCTGATACCTGAACCACAGGTCAGAACAAGTTATATAAAATCATATAGTCCAGTCAAATTGTGGTTTAGCATCAAACTAACTACAACAGAATTTTTTTCAACGCCATTTAATTGTTGGATGGCTTTGTAACAACATACTAAAAATCCGTCAAAATCGGTTCGCTGAAACATGAGAAAAATTGGCAATAAAGATTTTCAACTTTCAACATAGGAGACCCACTTTTAGGAAGATCACAAAATCCGATAAAACATTTGATAATTGTTTTCTTCCTCAAGAATTTTCGATACAACATTGCTAATGAATTTGGGGTAGTTTTGGTTTAAAAAAACGCCAACCAAATGTGTGAGAAACACCTGGGTCAGTGTTTTGTCTTGACGGCTTTGCACAGGTTACCCAGCCACTCGTTTGTCTTCACATTCTGTTTTCCAAGCCGTCATTTTTTTTTTCTATGACGGTATTTAAAAGGGAAATTATTAGTCAGTCTGTACTGATATGGTTGAAAATATTAGTATTTTTATTTTTGCGCAATATCAGAAATGCAGAAAGTATTTTTAGTTTTACAGGCTTCTATTTTTTTTATATCTTGCAGCATGGAATCAAGTTTAGTAGCTGACTGATGGTGAACAGTTTGATTTGATATTTTGTTCACCTTCAGTCAGCTACTAAATTTGCATCCATGCTGCAGGATACGTGCAACTAAATGTGTGCAACGGACGATAGCTTTGTATCAGTACAAACTGTTTAACCTATTCCCGTTTTCTGCCATCGAGTTTTTTGAGGTAGTTGTGTTCAAAGCTTGGACACAATATGTGTGATCGAAATCAGGGATTCTTTTTTTTTCTCACGACATGCGCAACCTCCTTTAGGATTATGACTCCGCCGTACTTTACAATGTGAGTGAATAAATATTCTGCTAAGGACTCTGTCTATTTGGTTTTGGCTAGATCATACCGCTCTGCGCTTTTCATTACACCTAGCCGAATCTGTTCTAAAGGAAATCCAGAAAACCAACGCAGTGTGATTGTTCTTTTTTTTTATCTTCTTCTTGTAGCGAGGCTCAGATTTAGTTTAGTACATCTGTGAGTTTAATTTGCATTTTCTGCGGCAGCTCTTCATTTCTTGGTAAGATAGATAAGATTAATTGCTCTGTTGTCTAAAGGCATTTATATTCCCTCCTTGCATTTCTTTTCTGAGAACAACCCTGAAACTCGACCAGTTCCAGTTTATTTTTCGTCCATTGGCAAATGAAGACCTCTTTTTCTATAACACTCATGGTATCCTAAACATCTGAAAATAATTGCAGTGGTCAATGAAGGCGCGAAAGTACTGGACATAAGTACGACATTAATGGGCTTGCCTGACTTAGCTTCTGATGGCTCACCTCTTTTTGCGGAACCTACGTTTCTCTTCGGATGAGCGTTGTGTAACACTTCAACTAACTGCATGTTAATCTTCTGACTGAGTTGTGTGAATTATGCTCTGTGTAGAGAATTTCCATTACTCCATAAACTCTTACAAGATATTTTTATACGCATTGTTTTGCCTACCCAGAGTTAATCTTTCCCTTAAAAACCAGCTTCCCTATTATACTATTTCGTTTTCTTGAAACAAACGTCTGCTAGAACCAAAGTTCTTATGTGATGAATGTTCCGTTAACCTTTACAATTTTTTTTGCGAAGGTAAAAACACTTTTCCTTTAATGAAAAGGCATTTCCCTCTCATCAAATTCATAGGCATTGGGGCTCAACCTGTTCAAAAACTCTGTATTGTTGTGCGTCGTAAAGAATTAGTAAAACTATCCTCCCCTCCTCTCCAATTCACTTTTAACAAGAAGAAAATGAAAAGCTTCGAAAAAGTGGAACTTGTAAATTTGATGAAGTTGGTACGTAAACAAAATTAATGTATAGGTAACCGTAAAAGCCAAAGCATTATCTTGCTAGATTTTTGAAAACGTACCGAACGAAAATTGCAGTCTTTTCTATGAGAAAAAGACCAAAAGCCGAAGGGAAAATGAGCCCAAAAGTCCTCCTAGAAAAGAACAAGGAAAGGAAAAATAGAAAGAAACGAGGAGAAGAAAAAAGAACAATGGCTGCACTCTTAGTTTTTTTGTTGACTTCTTGGGAGTTTTTGAAAGAAAAAAACTGTTTGAGGGGAGAGTTCTGTTTTGGCTGTAACGTTATTCAAAAATCTAGCTCTGATATATTTTTCTTATCCTCGCGGCTAACAGAAATCTGATAAAAAAGGATATCTTTTAAAAGCTAATAATTAGGTAACGACTTTCATTTTTCAGATTTGAAGCCTTATGACTAAGTTTGTTGTAGTTTTACAGCCAACAGTTCACTCTATTACTCTGAATGCCTCCTGTTGTTATGGGGTTCCTTCAGTGGAACATGGGCCTCCTGTGCAAAAGCCAACCGTGTTTAATATTTATCCCTCTTGGAAAAAAGAAACACTTCGTTTTTATCAGCGAAAACTAAATAGCAGTTATTCTTTCTTTATTCACTTTTGCATAAAAGTAACAAACACATTTTAAGCATTTTTTGTTTAACCGTATAATTTCAACTACCGTGGGTCCCTGTGGTACCAGCTCAAAATGTTTAACGCTTAATTTTTACATGTTCCGCCCAACGGATTTTGGCGGATTTTTAGTATGTTGCTAGATAGGGTACCCTTACTTAAATGGCGTTGAAAACAATTCTGTTGCCATTAGTTTGATGTTGAGCCTCGAAAATGTCTAGATTGACTGGACTATTTGTCGAAAGTAAAAAAAAAGGATCTAAGACATCTAAGGACGTTGTCTCGTGATTAGAGACGTTTAGAGATGTGTGGATTTTACACTGTTTGAGGGCTCATAACCTTTCCACTATCAAACTAAACATAATCAGTCTATTCACATTCCAAATCTAATCGTGATCTTCTTGTGATAACATTTATTTATCAAATGGATCAAATTTGCAACACAACAGAGATTGCACTCAGCCCCGAAATGGCCAATTCTCACCTCTGCGAGTTTCTTTATTTCACGTCAATTGCAGATACTTAAGGGACGGTTGTAATGGAACAGCACACGTGGTCGATGTTGTTGTTTTCAGCTCAACCGCACTTAAGGATAGAGAACGTCTCCTTCGCAGAGATGTCCTTTTCTTAAATTCGCGGAGGATATCCTCTTTCATAAATGCATACAGTAATGGATTTGCTAAGGACGACAGAGCCACTGTAAACAGAGAAACGGTTTGAAGAGTGTCAGGTGCAAGGTGAGGCCTGTTGAGACTTTCGACAGTTGTCATGTAAATGATTGGCAGCCACGATAACACGAATATGATGACTATAGCAAGAAAAACCTTCGCCACTTTAGTCTCCGATCTTATTCTTTTGGATGAAAGCGCATTTGAAGAACGATTTCGAATTTTTTGATGGTGTCGTCTTAGTTCCCTTCCGATTTTGTAGTAGGCACAAAATATAGCAGCGTAAGGAATAATAACAAATAAGCCCATGAGAAGAAAAAGGTACACCTTGTGAATTAGCACATCGGAGTTAGTCTGCCATGTCAATGGCAAAATAGCAATTACTAATGAAGTTGCCCAGGTTCCGATAATAAGCTTTACAAAATAGGCTTTCACTGTTTCTTTGTACTGGAAAGGTTTGGCGACAGCTATGTAGCGATCCCAAGTCACCAAGCAAATATTCCCAACTCCTGACAACAGCACAAATGCAATCAAATAGCCCTCTGAGACGGCGGCTGCCGAGGTGGGGCCACTGAGGTGAATAGGATAGAATACTCCTCCGGTCAGAACGTCAGACACAGCAAGAGATACAAGAAATCCATTCGTATAAGTACGAAGTCGCGGATTTGAGACAACAATCGCACAAACAGCCATGTTAGTGGCCACTATGAGGACAGAAATGCAGATCAAAGAGATGTCAGTCCACGAAAGTTCGCCCATGTTGTGGTGCTTCTGGGTTATATTGTGGCGATTTTGCCGTTAGTGATGCTGTTTAGCTGTTCCTCTATGTTGTTTACTCCTTTGCTTTGTTACA